CATAATCAGTTAAATGATGAAAAATTAGGTGTCTACTTGTGACCACTCAGTGTATATAGCTTATTGCATAGCTTTGCACTAGAGCAATAACTATTTTACATGAATATTTAGTTGACATCGAGCGCACCAAGTTTCATATCGATAAGCATTTTTAGTTTGTTTAAAGATAAAAAATATTATTTATAATAAAGAACATTCTGCATAAATCACCTAAAAGTAGAATGGAAACTAATGACTTCTTTGTTTAAACACAGCAAATATCTATTCTTCTAATCACACCTACATCTTCAGGCATATATTTATGAATGGTGTACGTAATCTAACAGAACGCTTAAATAATTATCACATTTAACTGTTGTAATTATTGATGTTTAAATTTTAGCGATTTTTAAAATAATGCACATTTATCCCACAAAGTACTTATGTATCCCCCTGGCGGTAAGGTTGTTGTCACGTTTACTATTCCATTTTATGATTTTGTTGAGATCAGGTACACTAAATTTATTGTAGTTGGTTAACAGTTTAATATTTAATAAAGTTTTTCGTTGGTTTATAACGTGCCTGTTGTTTTATTGTATCGTAAGTATGAGCTAAGCTAATGTATATATATTTAAATGTAAATTGTATGTGTATTTCACTTTCAAATAACGTACAACATGTGGAAACGTTGGTATTTCACTAGTGACTAAACTATAATAATAGTACTAACTTCAGACTCGGTCGACACACTGTCTCATTACTGATTAGGAATTAAGTTAAGACATTTGCAAACAACGATTTACAAGCATAATGAAGCAATTTACTACATGTTTCGACAGAACATTTGTCTGTCTTCTTACTTACTAATATTGATCTGTACTGCAGAAATCAAACTTGACACCAGGGGCAATGTATTATATGGTCATATAATTATAAATTAAATAGACCTAACGAGGACCCTTATAGTTATTGCATCAGTATTTTAGACGTTTTGTACATGTTTACCTCGGAGATAATCGATAGCAAAATACCCTACAGTATAGTAGAATCACATTTTGCATCATTTTTGAGGTAAGATATCTACCAAAGCAAGTAGCTTCACTAAAACTTTTAGGGAAAATTAGAAACGTTAAAGAAAATAGTACTTCAGACTCGGTTTTAATGTAATGTAGTTTATTTTGTAATAATTACAAAATATTAACTCTCAAGTCCAGAAAGTTTTCATTTCTGCATTAAAATTATTAATATCTGTTACAATTGTAAAATCAACAAATGATGGATAAATGTTTTGTTATATGTTACATTTTTCTGGGTTAACTTTCATTTTATGCCACTTTTGAGGCAATATATCCTAATTTGTGATGATTTGGGGGAAAATGTACATTATTTGTGAATAGGTCACCTTTTCAAATTTTGGAAAAATGGTTTCCTTGGTAAAAACTCATCAAGACCAAAAAATAATTGCTCTCAAACAGAATATTGCATTTCTGCATGAAGTTCTAAGATCCCAGCATACTTCCTCCTGGTGTCTTCTTTATATACCAAAAACTAGTTTTGAGCTAACTAGCTATATAACATAACTTATGGGCAATTATGAATCATTTGTTCCTTCAACACTGTTCTTGCATACCCACCCTTGAGAACAATAAAAATATAAATCCACTCTTTACTTTTTAAGAAATCATTGAATCCCCACTTAAGCTTCTGAAAGGTGATCTCCACTACTGCAGATAGGAACACATTCCATGTTTTCTGTGTGAATGGGACAACAGAGGAAATAAGCACTGGATAAAGAAGCAATGGCCGTGTGGAGTTAGCCTGATACCAAGATCAAAAAGCATTGAACGGGAAAGTTTGGTTGACATAAAGAAAATCCTATTACCCAAACTTCACATAAAACTGGGCTTGATGAAGGAGTTTGTAAAGGCCTTAGACAGAGATGGCTACTGTTTCAAGTATCTATGTGGGCAATTCCCAGCTCTTTCAGAAGCAAAACTTAAGTGATTTTTGTTGGGCCTCAGATTAGGAAATTGACTTCAGATTAAGAGTTTGAAAGGACAATGAGGAAAGTTGAAAAAGAAGCATTGATTGCTTTCATTGATGTTATTGACAAAGTTTTAGGAAACAATAAAGACCCAAATTATGAAAATATTGTAAATAACATGCTCAATAAATTCATAGAGTTAAGTTGTAATATGAGCTTCAAAGTTCATTTCTTACACTCACATATTGACTATTTGCCTGAAAATCTCGGTGCCATCAGCAAAGAACAAGGGGAAAGGTTTCATCAAGACATTAGGGAAGGTGGAACATCAGCATGATGGTTGATTACTGCTGGTTATTGAAACGAGATGCTCCAGATGCAATACATACAAGAAAGACCACAGCATGTAGTTTTGAGACTAAAAGACGTAGATTTCACAAAAAAAAAAAAAAACAGGATGAATGAGGATGTGTATACATTTGACATTAATGTTCTTTCCTTTTCTTCAGATTGTTTGTATATTTGTTAACAAACATAATAATAAAAAATTTTCATTGTGGTAAACAAAATAATAATTTGATCTAAGTAAGAGTTTTTTTTCTTCCCGATTTGTAAAAAATCCTTACGTGATAGAAAAAAATTAATATTTTCAAAGTCTGTGTAGCTGAATTATGGAAAATCTGTTATCAAAACCCAAGAAACTTTTAAGAAGTTTAAATTTGCAGGCCTGTGTAATGTAGGTGTAATATATGAATGCTCCAACTTGGTTGA